AACTCTGCCTGCTGTGAAATTTCAGAACTGCTGCAGTGGAACGTGCTGTTTGTTTTGGGTTATAGTCAATAGAGAGATTATCCTCCTGCTCCAAACAGCACAGAGAGAGCTGTATGTCTCCTGAAGGAAAATACCTGCTGAGAAAAAATATATAGGCAGGAGAAAATAATAACAAGGTGTAATGGAATCCAATGAATTTCACGATCAGCTGCTTTGAGGCTCTGGGAAATTACACCCCGCACCTTTTTGAAAAGGTTTTACCATATAACTTTTTAACAAGCCTGGTGGATGTCTGCATAGAGACTGTCCTCCTGTAAAAAAGAACTCTGTATGTTGATTTGCCAGCAGGTTATTACAAACCACAGTTACATACTATATTATAGTTTGGTGACCTCTAGCAAGCGTAGTAATTACGACACAAGGAAAGGAAGAAGTTCGGAGACGTATATAAAGTCAGAGAGTCCGCATTAGGAGGTGGTTGGGGTGAGCGACTTGGTACATAAACCCCAACCTATATGACCCATATGGCCAAAACTGTCACCGTTTCATTATGTTATGTCAGACACACTACTCGGCTAGGTTTAGGAACAAACTCTACTTGGTTAGGTAAAAAAAAAACACATTACGCCGCTCACCTATATGTCTTATAGTCATATAGGTTGGGGACTTGTTGTCTGCATATGTCATCTGTGACTATGCAAATGCACTCCACTCTTGTAAGGAAAGAAACTGACTGAGTGCATTCACTTTTTACTTTTTGAAAATGGAGACAGTAATTCACAGTAGGAAAAAAATTCAGAAAATAAAAGTAATCCACCCGCAATCAAATGTTTTCCTATTACTGATTTTAAATGAAAATTACCTATGACAGTTTTGTGTAAATAACTCCAAAGCACACACACAAAAAAGATCAAAGTGTTCATATTAGCTGTACAGCATCTGTGTCTTTCTGCACTAATAGGTACACTGATAACTTATGTGTAACTCGGTGGAGTTTCCACGAAGCTCAAGGGTCAGGGAGGAAAAACTCCACTCTTATAATTTCACAATCAGCATGGCCAGACACACGTTTTTCTCTGACATCATCAGTAGAAATGCTAACAATAACTGCATACTATTTACAATCAATGATAATCTCTCAGTTTCTTCTGGAAAGTTAGGCCCAGTCGTTATCTCTGAAAACAAAGGCAACAAGTTTGCATCCTTCTTTAGTGATAAAGTTAAGAGCATCAGGCAGGCAATACATTTTTCTCCAACTACTTGTGCTTGAAGACCCTTGAAGCAGCTGTAGAAGCATAACCATAACAAACGGGTGACTTTCAATACACCAGAGGACATAGTTAAGAATTTGAACTCCTCCATCTGTTGCCTGGACATTTTAGCTTCCAATTTCTAAAAATCATAAAAGCTTTTATCGACTTGAAATTATTTACTAAATCACATCTTTGCTACATTGTCTCCCCAAAAGGTAATGATTTATGGTTCAGACATACTTCTTGAAAAGCCCATCAAGAGGAATTTTGTGTTTGCATTATTACGCCTGATTCTATAAAGATCAGTCCCCGAAGTCATAAATGAGCTAATTTGAATGAAATGCATCATTAAAAATGTATTACAGTACATATCAGTTACCAACCATCGGCATTTCTGCCCATTTACAAGTGAATTTCACACTTTAAAAGATGTCAGCTCCTCTGACAAAAATAGCCCAGAAAAACAGCCTGTTCCAGTGTCTGAAGGACATTTGCCTGACAGCTACTGTAGGATGGCAGTGAGATGACTTCCGAGGTGGAACGCAATATCTAAAAGATGTTGGAAACAGAAGATATTGGGGGAAGATATTGGAAGATGTTTCTGGAGCTGCCTGGCTACCATGCAGCTCTGTCCACAAACAGTACCTTCAAAAATCAAGTGTTTTTGGCAACAAAGGTCATTTTTTAATGCAATAATGTATCTAAAATATTTAAAAAGCTTGCCAAAGGTGGCTGTATAGTAGCTGTTTTAAATGTGGTCCTGTGTGCTAGCATGCTAACAAAATGTCATCATGTATTTACCAGTGTTGAAACCTCTGCCCAGAGCCGGCCAGGGTCGATGGTTCTTCCACAGGTTCCCCAGGTACCAGTCACTCTGGTTCTCCACCAAACCCAAAACCTGTTGACCTGAATACAGCAAACATCATCATTACTATTTTTTTTTCAAGTTCTCAATATTCATCTCTTTTTTGTAGCATTCATTTACTTAACTCTACATTATAAAGATAATTTTATTATCCACTTTCATTTTACAGTATTTAAAGATTCTCTCCATTCTGTTTATCTGTAATACATGATGTTCAAGGCATCTGTAACTTCATTTTATGATGAAACATCTTAATTTCTTCTGGTGTTCACACTTCAACCTGGCTTGTCTAACATCAGCTTTTGGAATATGTTCAGATATCTTCAAAACCCAGAAAAGGCTGAAGCCTTGTGGTATTAAATTAAATTTGGAGAAAACTGTTAAGGTCTCTCTGAGGTGATTTCATCTGAGAGTCATTCCAGAAGAAATGAAAACACAAACTAAAGCAAAACTACTCATAATGCTACCATCAGGAGAAACAAAATGAGATTTAATGTTTGTAACTCTTAAACAAAAAGTAGTAGTCAAAAATTCAGGCAGAAAAAACAGCCAAGAGCCTTGGCCAGTGTACGCATGTAACCCAAAACCTGTTGACCTGAATACAGCAAACATCATCATTACTATTTTTTTTTCAAGTTCTCAATATTCATCTCTTTTTTGTAGCATTCATTTACTTAACTCTACATTATAAAGATAATTTTATTATCCACTTTCATTTTACAGTATTTAAAGATTCTCTCCATTCTGTTTATCTGTAATACATGATGTTCAAGGCATCTGTAACTTCATTTTATGATGAAACATCTTAATTTCTTCTGGTGTTCACACTTCAACCTGGCTTGTCTAACATCAGCTTTTGGAATATGTTCAGATATCTTCAAAACCCAGAAAAGGCTGAAGCCTTGTGGTATTAAATTAAATTTGGAGAAAACTGTTAAGGTCTCTCTGAGGTGATTTCATCTGAGAGTCATTCCAGAAGAAATGAAAACACAAACTAAAGCAAAACTACTCATAATGCTACCATCAGGAGAAACAAAATGAGATTTAATGTTTGTAACTCTTAAACAAAAAGTAGTAGTCAAAAATTCAGGCAGAAAAAACAGCCAAGAGCCTTGGCCAGTGTACGCATGTAAACAGAAACATTGATGGGGTTAGAATAACCTGTGCTATACTGGATTGTGTGGTAAAATTAAACTGAGTACTTTCAATATGTGAATAAATGCAACAAGCAATATAAGCTCTCAGTCACTCTGAGGAAAAGAGGCTGGAGACCTCTGCTATACAGTATTTACTATGGTAAACAACTTATAAGCTCAATAAAAACATCCTTTTTGCCACTGAATGTATAATGTTTTTA